ATTGTGGTTTTGTTGTTATTCATTGCGGTAATAATTAACACCGCAGTGAAGATGACAAGATTTAACACCATACCGGTGTTGATTATAACCAAACCGGTAGAGTCATATACGTCTAAACTTTGGTTATAATCTGGTTACGATTTTTCTAAGAGTGTATAAAACTCTATAATTTGGTTCCAATGGTGCATTAATAATCGGAATATGTAGGTGTAGAATTTTGAGATTTTTTGCATCAATAGTGTAGAATAACACGACAAAATAAGGTTCATAATGACTTAGGACAACTTTGCACCAAATAAGCCGACAAAGGAGATCATATTTGTTTATATATTCTTGCACCAAGGGTGCAATATAAACGGAAACATAAAGATAAGGCCGAATTAGTATGCACCACCTGCGGAGCATGAGACTGAGCATAAGACAGCCATACTTTATTTTGCAAACTTTATGTCAAAATTGTATGACTCTTTCTCCCGGAGATTCTGCACTATTGGTGCGTAGTACATCGCGTCCACCAATTATTTCGCATCATTTTGTGTTAGCGATTGTTAGATACCAACGGTGCTATTAATTTATTAAAAAATGGACCTGGTACATTTTAATTAGCATCAATTGATACAAAAAAGTCGTTAACAGACAGACGGACGGACAAGAGGAATTCAATAGCTCCCGTGCTACGCAGGGTGAGATAATAAAGCGTTAGTATGATCCCTGCCTGCCTGTCTGCCTGTGGAGAATAATGGAGCGTAGCGAGCGCAAGTAGTTGAGGTACTTTTTCTATTCTATTCTCCTCTCGCTCGCTACGCTCCTTTTATCACTGCAATTCTACCTCAGCTCCATAACTTTGACGGACCAAGTGTAGCATGTTGCTGCGTAGGTGGCGTGGGGGTGGTGGCAAAGAAGGAAGTGGAGCCACCACTGCTAACATGTTACTACCCCTTTCATACTGCATGAGTACGCATCACTCATCATCAATAGTGTGGTTATCATGATAAGTGATCCTGATAAACACTATTAATTAATTATTTTAGTTTGAGATACTCCACCCACAGCGAGTGGCATATCAATTCGAATGTATTTTTGAGGCCGAATCCAACGCCGTCAATGGTTTTGACCTCCGAGGCCCCTGTGACCTTCCCGTGACCGTGGGGGCTAAACATGGCTTATTCGTGATGTCGCATATCAATTCGAATGTATTTTTGGCGCTAAATCCAACGCCGTCAATGGTTTTAACCTCCGAGGCCCCTGTGACCTATGTATCAGAGTAATCTTTAACATTTGATAAGCAGTAATTATGTGTATATGACTTACTACATCAATGGGAAAAGATTTGCTACTAACCGGAATGGTAAGGACTGCAATTGTGAGGTAAGAAAATATTTGTAATGTGGAAATAAACTTGTTCCATGAACAGATGTGTTACATTGGTAATAAAATGTCAACACAGATATCGTCCCTTATCACCGGATTATTTTGTGTGTTGATGTCACTTTGTAAAAATTATATGAATGCGATCCGGCCACTATATACACTGGAACAAAATAGATATAAAAAAAAATCCCGCTAAAAAATCTGGTGAAAAGCGTCACTCTATCAAGCTCGGGTAATCTCAGTGTTTACCGTCTTGGTGATTGAGTAGCACTGAGCAGGGGTTATTTCACGCGATCTAAACAAACTGTGACCGAGCGGTAGCGTATGATCACCATTTCGGTAGAGTCACATACCTATAGCCACCGGCGGTGAATTTCGGAAAATTGCCTCTCACCAATGGCCTCCCCTCAATCGGCTTCAGGTAATGGCTTCGGACCAATAGCAAGTGTAGCAATTATGGGTGTCCCCGCGACAGAGATTATCCTTCTGTCTGATTTTGTAAAAACACTCCTAACCTCGAAATTATTTGTTGAAGGCTACGCATATGTTTCTGTATGGGTGCGAAATAACGACGCGTATTGCTTGCGGACTGTCCGTACACGTCGGCACAAATATGTTGTTGTGGCTGGACCCTCTCCTTTGGGGGAGAGGGCCCAGAATGATTGTCTCACAACAGCACTTAATTCTAGAACTACTCATTTATTCTTTCTTTCATTCGTACATTTCCTAATACTACCTAACCTAACTTAAAACTAACTATCCTAACTAATCTACGGAGAGAGAAGAAGATGATGTTGGGTTGACCCGGATGGTCTGGATCTCGATTTCTGTCGTTGTTTCCTGGTTTTGTGCAATAAAGTTGCCTTCCGGGCCAACTTTACTGCATCTCATCTGTCTTTTGGGGAGAGAGATTATTCTCGTCGACGAGTACATACGTACTCGCCAACACTCCTGCGCTTTTAATCTTCGTCGTCCCTGACGAAGCAATTAATAATCTATGATGTTACAAATTTTATATAAAGCAATGTTCAATTACAGTTTATGATTTGAGGAATTTGATAATGATGTAATAAAACTATGAATTTCTTTTAAATTACAGTAGTGTCGTATTACTGCTGATCTTTACAATTTTGTGGATGGAGATCATATTATGATTAAGGGGGGCGTTTTTTTCTTGTTACATACATTTTGCAAACATTAGTACAGCCAAATAAAGGTAATATTATTTTAGTTGTTCTTTACAGTCAATGGAACAAGTATAGGCACCACCCACGCAAGCTACCTAAAATTGCCTATAACTTTGGAATGCATTATCAAATTAGCATGAAACTTTGTACACATTTAGCAAATCTAATGTAGTGTTCGATTATAATCATGTTTTATTGATTAAAATTGGATAAACACAGTTTTTAAATAATTTGTTGGAAAATATGTAAAATTAACCCGCAAAAAGTATTGGCACCTTATGTCTTAATTATTAGAGCGAAATTTTTACAACGATAAACCTCTGCCTTTTGTCACGGTAAGTTAATCAGATCACAAAATATAACTTTATCTGCTTCGTAAGTTCAGATTGGTATTGTCTACAGCCAAAATTGCGACACCAAACGAGCTATTTTTGGTGGAGCGAGAAATAATCTTGCCTCCTTCTCAAACAAGCTTGGATATCGAAAACTCAGACAGGAAACATACTCCTTGATATTTACTATTCGAAATGTAGCCAAAGGGCATGAAGCAATCATTTTAGTTCCTGCTTTCTTATGATCCGGCTAAAAATGCCGCCTAATCCTAAAATCAACGGATTAATCAAGCAAACTATCACTCGAGATCGGAATATTTCAACCTCCAAAATCATGTTGAATTTGAGTACGAACTGTGGGGTCAACAGATCATGCAATATAGTGATCAATAAAAAATCATGCCATGGGGTTTCAGGGTCCAGTTGCCCGACAAACGCGAGGGTCTTCAAAACGAAGAAGCTCAACAAATTGGAATGGGGTAAATATCACCCTAAATAGACTTTCATTGAGTAAAGAACGGTCTGCTGCTTCGACATAAGCCAGTATTAGTTATTCGGAGCCAATTGAATGGTCCAAGTCTGGCGGATGCCATAAAAGGCCCACAAAAACGAATATGTTCCTATGACAGCTAAACACAGCGTAGGATCGATTGTGGTTTGGGGTTAAATGACTAGGTCGCGGCGTAGTTACCTGGTAATTATCGACAAAATCATGACCAGGGAGGTCTTATTAATCATTACAAACCATAATTTGAAATCATTTGACAAAAACCTGACCTAGGAAGGAATTTCATATTCCAAAAATGCAGTCGCCCCAAGCATGCATCCAAATTAACGATGCACATTTTTGGAGACCGAAAAGGTTAAGCTTCTTTCGTTGGCTGCACTGTCTCCCGATGTGATTCTGATTGTCCGGGATGAGAAAAGAGGGACTGCTGGGAAATCACTCGGCGAAAAACGAACTTGTCAAAAGTTCTGAAGAAGTTTTGGCAGTCATATAGAAAAGCGTTATAAAGAAACTTGTCGAATCAATTCCACGACCTATTTATGCTCTTATTGCGTCGAGGGGAGGTGCCACGTAACATTAGAAGCAGTGTGACGTAATAAAATTGGCGATTCTTCGATTTATGATTTTATAAGTTGTAGGATGCCAATACTTTTTGCGGGTGAATTTTACATATTTTCCAACAAATTATTTAAAAACTGTGTTTATCCAATTTTAATCAATAAAACATGATTATAATTCGAACACCACATTAGATTTGCTAAATGTGTACGAAGTTTCATGCTAATTTGATAATGCATTCCAAAGTTATAGGCAATTTTAGGTAGCTTGCGTGGGTGGTGCCTATACTTGTTCCATTGACTGTATCAGTGGTACAATTTTGTTCATTTCTTTTAGTACGTATTTTCATAATTTTGCTTAGACTTTAACGGAGATATCTTAATTTTTGAATCATATTTTACAACTTTAATTAACCTATTCCCAAATATAAAGTGAACATTTGAAAGATGAAGTTAATATTAATTTTGATATTTGTTATTTCTACGGTTTCCTGTGAGGATTTTCCCCTAGCATTATCGTGGCAAATTTTAAAATCTTGTGTTCGGTGCTTAGAGAGTCAGGGATGGATTTTTGTTGTTCGTGGCGACAGGGAAGAATGGCTTCCCTGTCGTAAAGTTCCGAATCAGGACGGCCAATTTTTCGCACTCCATTTTGTAGCTAACGTTGATTTCTGTGGTTGCCGATTTGTTACTGCTCCGTATTCCGGTGCCGATATGGGTTGTGAAGAGCACAGTAATGATTATATTTTAACAATTGTAATTTTAATTTTTGAATATTATTTTGGTAATTTTAATAACAATAATTTCTGGTTTAAATCTATTATTGTACAAATAGCTCGACTTCCAAATGCACTTTTGAGTGAGTGGGAAAAGGATAGCAGTGTAGACGTGTCCATATTTATAGCTGATTGGAAATTCTTGATGCTAGTAATTTCAAAATGTTCATTAATTAATTTCTTTCATAAATTTATAAAGTAATTTAAGAATAAAGTAATTAGGAATAATTCTCTTTTTTTCAATGGAGACGACGAGTACGACCGAGACGATGACGATGACAGATGCAGAAATGGGAAAGGTGACGACGAGTCCCACGACGACGAGTTCCACGACGACGACGAGTTCCACGACTACGACGAAGATGATAACAGATATGGTGACGGAAATGACTACGCTGGTGGTGGCGACGGAGCTGGCAATGAGTCCCACGACGGCGACGACGATGATCCCAGAGACTGCGGGACCAGATGAGATGATGACAATGGCGGTGACAGAGACAACAGTGAAAGCGGATGTGACGACAACAGTGACGACTGAGATGACCACAGAGTCGGAGGTGATGAACCTGATGGTGACGTCGGATGCAGCTATTGGAGATGACGGATCCTCCACCGCTCAAAAGGTTGAACCGCAGGAAGAGGTTGGACGTAACTGGTGGTTGGTGTGGTTTATGGCGGGCGTAATGGTTGGGTGTGGTGTGATGGCGGGGTGTTTTTTCCTCGGGATGAAACAAATTATTATGTACAAATTGTCATATAATAATTGTATAAGACGCGTTAATTTACAGATAATTTTTGAAATAAAATTTACTGGTGAGAAAATTACTTGACACAACAAGGGAAGTTCCATCAGCTAATTCTCATTTATTTAAGAAATAAAATTTATTGGGGAGAAATTTACCTGACACAACAAGGGAAGTTGCATCAGTTAATTTTCATTTATTTAAGAAATAAAATTTATGATATTAAATTTCGCATAACAAAGATGTAGTGGTATAGCAACATATACCTACTACTGCCATAAGTTTTGACCACTAAACAAATTAATGTAGCGGACTCAGTTTAGTGAATTTTAAAAAACGAACGATATCATGAGAAAGCCTATTAAATTCCCTACAAAATATACCGGGCACTTTCCAAAATTTCCTCCTTTCGAAGCTACAATAGCCCAAAGTCTAGATATCCACATCTCACTCGCGGTACGCACTCATTCCAAGGAATATTAGTCTCATTTCTAAGCGACAGATTTTTTCTCGGATTCCAAACTTGTGTGGTGTTTAGCACATGTATCTAGCTTCAGTTTGGACCACATATCGTATTCCAGAAGGTTGAGGTTCGGCGACAGTGCATTTTATTCTTGATCCGAAATGGAGTAAGAAATTTTGGAATTTTACCCCATTTTTACTATTTTGGCCTTATCAGCAGGTCCTGAGCCCTGCTCGAATACTTAGCAGCTATTTTTTAATAGAGTGTGGTCCAGTGGTTCTTCCATTCGCTCGATAACTTCAAAAAATACTTTTTGACAAGAAATTTCACCCCCAGAGGAAGACAATTCACTTTTTTGACCAAATCCAATCTACGCCGAATAAAAAAATCACAGAATCTGGATGCTGGGTCCGACTAATATTTTAAAAAATTTTATGAATAATATGGACTGGTGGGGTGTGGACAAAGTGCTTTTGCTAATTTTATATGACCTCTATTGTGAAAGTTTACTTATCTTTGAAAAATACTTATTTCCATTTTTCAAGCGCGTACCACATGATCAGTGCGCGGCTTTCAAGGGTCCTATTTTTACTTGGCGTGAAGTTGGCAAGTGTTTCTTTTCACATCTTAAAAACATAAGTCCAAGGTCGAGTTTAGGGGCCTGGGACGTAGTTTTACTTGGACCGTTCATTTGTAGGGACATTTTTCTTAGGATCCGGCGTGAATTCAGCCGAGTTCAGGTTTTGTGCGCCTTCGTGATTTTTTGTGACCTTTTTGACCGTTCCCTTCAACTCGGTTTTCGGTTATCAACACTGCCAATGTTAGTGGATCATTTTATGGTATGGTCGACCATCTTGCAATTAGTTCCGATTTTTAATGATCTATTGAAAAATGCCGAATTTTTATGTTTGCAAAAATGTTTCTGAAAAATTGCAACACGTCGATTTGTCCGATCTGTCATTTTAGCACCTTGTATCACAAAAAATTTCGGAAGATGGTTTCTGATAGACAAGTGCATGGGGAATTCAATAAAAAATAGTACAACTGGCTAACGTAACTGCTACTGATGTTTTTTGCGCGCGGAATGCTTGAGACAGAATATATGGCAGTAGTAGGTAGGAAAAAGGAGACTTTAGTGGCCATTCAGTGTGGACATGCCAGGAAATATAGGAAGATTCAAGGCGACTATGTATATCAGCAAGGAGGGACAAACCCCCCTCAAAATTCCCGATTTGATGGTAGTACAGGGTGCATTTAAATGTCGGAATTAACGGTGCTGGGATTTGGGCCAACTCTTTGGCGAATTTCACCATAAGGGCGAATCCAGGTTTTACGAAAAGGGGGATGAAAAAGATTAATATGTATCCCATTTTGAAATTTTGTAGTCTGCTTTCCTATCAGCAAGAAATGGAGAAACTAGCAACGGTAGCGGAATGACGTTCGTTTTATCCTTCAGTTGACTGATCAAATATTTCGAGGGGAAACCCTAATAAATCTTATAACCGAATTATTTGTATTACCGCCCGGTGACAATATTCACCGGCTCAGCTGAGCGTATATACGCCACCACCCGTTGACAGCTTTGTCACCGCATGAAAATACCCTGCCACCAGCGCTGTGATACTCTACCAATCGACAAATGGAAGTACACCACCATTTACTAAGCAAAAACCCCGATCGCCAAAGGTGATGGAGTCACGCCTATCACCGGAATTCTTAGAGTGTAGTACGGAAACTTTTACATAAGCATATATTGATTACCTAGTATTTGACATTTACTGAATTATATTTAGATAAGTTTGCGTGTCAATGAAGACATAACAGACTGACAGACATATAAGACTGTCATGAGTACGAATTATAAATACAGCCTATGACTTATGTAAATATATGTATGTATAGGTTAAAAGTCATTCGATTAAGTACTTGGACTTATGCAAACATTTCTAAGTTACGCTATAAATTCGCGTCAAGAATTTTGAAATTCGGTGAAATTCCAGATTATCCCATTTTCTTGCGGAAAATATCGTTGCTTGAAATCGCTCAAAATGTATAACAGTGACTTGTAAATATGACAAAGGGTTAATAACACATATATAAAATTACGTTGACGTTTAAAAATTTATCAGTATTCCTTAATTATATGTACATAGTGTTAATAAAGTTCCTGACCACCCCAAAAAATCCTCATACTCGCGCACAAAAGTTGCTGAAACTTTCTTGGTGTTGCTTTCTCGGTACTAATTTTTTCTGACAATGTCCCTCAGATGTTTATGCTCAAGTGTGGAAAAAATTATAAAAATGCATTCACTTTTGGATGAACAAGAAGAGGTGTTACAAATCTCACGAAAATATTGAGTTCCCAGAAATACCTTCCAGTTGTGGAGGAACTGGAATTAAACAAACGACGCTATTCATCTCAGGCGATCCACCACACCCGGGGCAATAACTTACAATACGATTTTAGAAATAATCTACAGAAAACCTGGTAGTTCGACAATAAAGTGTAGAGCTGTCCTAAATCTCACATGTCGATTTTGGCAATTTTGGTAGAAAATCTGTCGTTCCATTATCCAGAATCATGTAAAAACCCGTGACTGGGGTCATATACCTTCCAGAACCCCAAAACGGACTCTTTTTCGATCAACAATATTCAAGGTCGAGTTGATTTAGGCGAGTTTCTTGATGAAAACCCCTATTTGACTACTGGTATAAAGGGCCAAGAAATGCTGTGTACGCACACGACCGAAATATATGGTCATCCTGTGGCGAATCCTCACTATATGAGGTACCCAACTGTGGATAGAAACGGGGTTCCCGAGACGAAGATCAGAAAAAAGTGCTTACCATTAATGGTTTGTATTTAGCTCTGGTTTCGAGGCGCAAAGGACCTGGATGTTATTTTTGGTTGTCAAAATTTCTACGTACCGTTTTACCGCCGTCATATCTTGCCCTTCTGCTTCGATACCCTATAGACTAGCCAACTTTTTCCAAATTCCAAAGAAATTTTATATTAACCGGATGGAGTACCAGCCCACACTTCAAACACTACTATTGGTTTTTCGAGTGCCGGTTATTCATCACCTTGGCAAACGGGGTGTGGCTCGGCAGCACTCCGGACATGAACCCAATTAAAAATTTATGACCCTAGCTTAAAACTAAGGCGGTCTACGAAAAAGTTCCACACGATACTGCTTCCAGAATAAACTGTTTCAAACCAATTTGAAAAAAAATTTCCAAAATTGTTTTACAAAATCGGTCAGAAATTTACAGGGCAAACCTTCAGGACATGTAAAATAGTATGGATGAAACACAAAGGACCAATGCATAACATACTATAACAGTTTTCGCTAACAAAATATTTTGCTTGTCAAAATAACAATTATTTGAAACTATACCTCGCCTGGTCAGAAACCTTATTAACACTATGTAAGTTCGCAAGTTTTATAATTTTTTATTAATTATCAACTAACCTTGGGGCTTTGGAGATGCACACTTTCAGAAAGATTGTAGTCAGATTATAACCAAGGTTTAAAAGCATATGCTATGCCGGTTTGGTCGGTAGTGTGCACTTTTTCACCCAACAATTCTCACCCCACAATTTTCACTTCACAATTCTCACTCCACAATTCTCATTCCCAAATTCTCACTGTTTACAAATTCTCACCCCATGATTTTCACTCCCCAATTCCCAACCTACATAATATGTATTATATAAGTTCCAGCTATTACAATTATCTTGGCACATAAAGTGTCATACCACGAAATCCTACCAGCTTTTTCGCCATGGAACGAAGGTTAGAGAACCTTTATAGTTCTTTTGCACAAGACCGAACACTTTTCGATTTCTCGCGAAGAAAAGACATTTCGAGGGTTAGCTGTTTTAAGTAGGGTGACCATGCGTCCTGGTTTCAAAACCTGTCCCGAAAATGTCCGGGTTTTGATAAGGTGTACCGGATTTTAAAGTCTTAGGCAAAACTTAGATTATCTCACCTTTGTAGCCAAAATATTGTATGAAAAAGTAGGTTTTAATACATAAATACAAGTAACATGCAGTTAATATGTAGCACTAGATATTATGGACACATTTTTCGCCAATGCTTTTTAATGTTTTTTTAAAGTTCACTTTTTGTCATTCTAATACATACATACAACGACATATAGAATTAATTGCCGTTTTGTGCCATGTTTCAGTAGACTACATTTTTATTTGAGATTTTTATTAGAGATTTATTATGGCTGGAACCGATATAGGTTGAAAATTGGGGAGTGAAAATGGTGGAGTGAGAATTGATATAAAGTGAGAATTGGTAAATGAGAATTGTGGAGTGAGAATTGGTACGGAGTGAGAATCGTCGAGCAAAAATTGTGTGGTGAGAATTTTTGGACGAAAATTGACACCGAATCGTTTGGTTAAACCTAACACCGGACTGGTATTAAATTGTATTATATTCAGCGAGATGAGGAAGAGTCATTTATTTGTTTGTATACATATGTAGACTGACGTGGTGAATGACGTGTCACCTTCCGCATTTAGTACTTTGTAAACTGGGATGTTCCTTTTCCACCTCGAAATTTTGAACCCC